AGCACGTTCCGTAGGCGTAATGCCAGCGCTACTAACAACAATGGCGACTATAAATGGCTGGTAATACGAGTTTATTACTGCGACTGGGCTAACGATCCGCTTACCCTCCTCCCCTGGATCCCTTGTTTAGGGTATCCTCCGTGGCTTGCCCACGCAATATTTATCATTACACAAGAGTATTACCTAACGAATAAAGATCGACCTCGATTTTGAATTCTCTGACAGGATTCTGTGCACGTAATTTTTATATGAGAATTTTGAAAAAACTTTTTTTTTCCATCTGCAGTCCATCGGATACCACTCCAGCCGGTTTTATATGGTTATTCGCATTGTAGAGTTTACTCGACATATATATATGTATACCAAAAACATATATTCCTCCGTAGTCAAGAACAGTAGGCGAAATGTATACTCGGTAGAGCGTAAAGATTTCCCACGGATAAAACTCGGCCTTTCCCTCTATGATGACACGAGGAGATACTCCGTCGGGAATGACGACGATGATGACCCGGGATAACGCTCTTGACGTCACCGGAGGTTTGACGTTCTTTGGGGTTTTTTTTTTTTCGTTTTATACGTACCCCTCCTCGTAGGTAATTTTTGAGATTTTTGAAAAAGATATCACTAGGACTGATTACAGTGACCAGTGGGCACTTCCTGTTGCTAGATCAGCCGTGCACGTGCTTTTGCCGCGACTTGCCACGTGACGAACTTGCATACGAGGATTGGCTTAAATTATGCTTGTGTACCCTGAAACTCGATTCCTGTGCAATTCCTTTAAGAACGTTGGGCTACGGCGAAACGTAGCTACAGCACAGTGGCGTAACGCCAGGGCGAAAAGTTAGCGGCCGCACTGTAATATGCTCGTGCGCTGCCTGATTGCTACGTGGTTCTCTTGCACGTCCATTCAAATGCAAAGTCGCTTCCGTAGTTTGCGCGGCGCTTGGCCGTCGCTCGTGAAATTCCAGTTCCCTCGGTGATACCCCCTGAAACATCACCCTGGACCGATCGACTGCTCTCGGGCTAATTCCTCGTGGCTTTGAGAAATTCCCACGGACGAACTGTCAGGGACGTCAGTGGGACGATTATTATTGGTGGGCATTAAAATTTCAGAAGGTTCATTCTTTTCTTGTGTAACCTAACGTCGTATCAGCTTGTTATAGGTATATAGGGGAATACGAAAAATCATATAAGTGTAAATGAAAAACATTCGAACAATAATAGTAGCAGTTCTACCACTTACAATTAATATCACTCGAATACTAGTAGCGGTACGTACTAGTCGCGCTAACAGTACTGCTAACAGTAACTACGGTATACAGAAGCCCGGCGAGATATATACGTTCGGGTTAGAAAGGAACATCGAGGCGATCCGCCATATTGCTCTTTCGTTGCCGTGATCATTCAATTATTCGAGAGGCTCCTTCTATACGGGGTGTACGTACAAAAGAGATCACTCGCGATACGGAGACACAGGTGTACCTAATGGAATTTTAAGTCGTCCTCCATTCAAATGGGAATCGAAATCGAGAAAAACAAATTTTTTTCATCGCTCTCTAACCCCCCCTCGAAAATTTCTGGAAATCTATTTTGCCTTTCATCGCAATATCGAATTGGCGGAGTATTCGCGGAATTTATTACGTACCTACTACGGGTTTTGCCAACGTAAAAAAAAAAAAAAAAAAAAAAAAAAAAATATTGAAAATTTTAAAAGCGTTTTCAAAAGCCAGTAACAAAAAGAAATTCCACTGGTAAATTCTCCAAAAAAAAAAAAAAAAAAAAAAAAAAAAAAAATATTGAAAATTTTAAAAGCGTTTTCAAAAGCCAGTAACAAAAAGAAATTCCACTGGTAAATTCTCATCGGTCAATTTTTCATGCCCCGCTCTGTGTTTGTTCAACCTGCCATTTCAAAATGGCCACTTTGGTACGTCCGCAAAACGGTCAGATCGATACGGTGGCAACGTGGAAAACCTGACGGCCGATCCGTCACGGAAGGAACGCTAACTGACAGAGGGACGCGTGGCCGCGGGAGCATCTGCCGTATTGTGACTTTTGGGGTCACCCTGTATATATATATATATATTTCATACGTTTTATATGTGTGTATATGTATATATATATATATATATCGTCGTATATAAAAGTTCCCAGCATGCGGGCATATGGCGTGCGCTCCGAGTTTTTATAGAACGAAACCTCCCTCCGTTCTCATCACGTGCCAGCCCTCTAAATAAATACCATACTTTCACTCTCCCATCCCTCAGCATCTATCTGTATCCCGTGATTTGCTCCACGCAATATCACCAAACATTCTCGAGACCCGCCACTCGGGAATTCCTCCTTGCAACCGGTCAGTTCCTTGTACCGGGCTTATCGAACCCTATACTGTAGGGTGTAAGAAATTTGTATTTTATTTTTTGTCACCTTACGAAATCCAAGAAATTTATTTTCCCATCCTTTCATTTCTTTCTTGCGGCAAAGTAAATTTACCCTTTCCGTAAGCCTCTCCGCGTAAGGGATCCATCGTTACTTTTTCCCTGTGACTACGTTGCCAACCTTACACGCTCCTTCGTTTACAGCCGATCTTACGTCTCGCAAATGTCGACACGACTCAAAGTCCATAAAGAGGATCGTCTCTTTATTCGTATACACGTGGAAAGGACGCGACGGAGAAATGAAAGGTGGTCCGGGTAGAAAAAGAAAACAGTGAAATCTGCCAGCCACACGTAACGCGACGATATAACGTGGAAATGTGAATATCGCGTGTCTGCGCGCGTATAAAGGCGGTTTTGAGCGTGCGAAAACCCTTTAAGCCGTTCGAAAAGTACCGACGCTTCGCCTTCGTACATCCATAGAGTAACTGTAGTATGCATATGGCGTTTCGTAGTAGACTGTGCATTCAATTTAAGACCAGAGTGACTGCACGTAGTAGGTATACGGTGAAGGGGCGAGCAGGGGTAGGGGGAGGGGGGAGACGCACAATAGCACTAACGAAAACGTAGTTCGGGGAATTTTTGAAAAAAAATTTATCAAATTTGTTTTTTCAAAAATTATTATTTTACCCCCCCCTGCCATCCCCTCTCATTTTTAAAATCCGAACATTTGTCGATAGTTACGCGTGCTCGTGTCTCATTGCCGGAGGGGCTACATCGGGTGTTTTTTTTTTTTTTTTATTTTGGCAACCAAAAATAATTTTGTTTACCTGCGTGTACGGTTGGAAGCACACGCGTTAACCGACGGGACAAGTATTGCGGTTGGCTACGTTTGAACTCGGGCTGAACGAGATCTATCTTTTCGTTAGTGTATTTATAGGTCGATGCTGAAACTGTGTAACAGTTACGTATAGATTTACTGTGCGTTCTGTGTCTTCAAGGGGATATTTTATAGTTTTTATTGGTCTCTTTTGAAATTCCAATGTATTCGGCCACCGTGTTGGGGGAGTTAGGCCATCAAGGAAGCTTTATACGAATCTCTCGAGTGGTGGCGCGACGTTAATCCGGTCTTAGGAAAATGGCTGGTGGTTGGCAATGAGGTTGTGGGATTGTCACAGGAGTTATAGCATGGGTATCAATTTAATTTAATTTTTTTTTTTTTTTTTTTTCCCCCCCCCGTAAACCATGACTTTGAGCTTACGGGGCTTCGCAGGAGAAATCACAACTAAGCTCTGGTATCCCTGCAAGTGCCGCCATTGCTGTTGCGCTGGGAATGGCTGTAGCATCGAGCGTTTCTTACGTGTCCTTCCTGCTGGTTACCATCGACGACGAGGGTTTGGAAAGACGCCAAAATGCCGGCGGTAAAATTAATCGTTCTCTGACACGAATTCCTCTCTAAGTGGGAATACCAATTTGTCGATGGGACGACGGGGGCACGATGGCCGGAATATAGAAAACAGGAGAGAGAGAGAATTCTGAGGATGGAATTTTTTTTTTTTAAATCAGATTGCTGGCCGTTACACGTATACCTGTTTTTGACTGGTACTGTGCATACAAATTGAATGATATTATGATACTTACCACAGGTATCTTCTTTACCATAGGAGGCGACTTGTATATGTTGGAAATATTTTGATTAAGCTTAAGGGATGTCCATGGATATTCGAGAGAGAGAGAGAGAGAGAGAGAGCGAGAGAGAGAGAGAGAGAGAGAGAGAGAGAGAGAGAGAGAGAGAGAGAGAGAGAGAGAGAGAGAGAGAGAGAGAGAGAGAGAGAGAGAGAGAGAGAGAGAGGAAAAAGATAATAACTCAGTGCTCCATGCAAGCCATAGCGAGAGGCTAACAGGAAAGTCTCTTTGCGTTTCAGATCGGGCAGACGCCGTCGGGCCAAGGTGCGCTATCACAAGAATCGCCAAAGGATACGGAGGTGTCGACGCTGGACGTCGGTGACCTGCGAGCGTCGATACGAGCCAGCCGACGGAGTAACCGGATAGGATTCGAATAGTAGGGTGCCAACGAAGGGCTTGTCAGAGAGGTGGGAAAAGAAAGATTGTGGGAGAGCGAGAGCGAGAGTGAAAGTGTGTCCTCGATAAGACAGAGAGAGAGAGAGAGAGAGAGAGAGAGAGAGAGAGAGAGAGAGAGAGAGAGAGAGA